TTCCCTACAGGCGCCCTTTTTTGTAGCTCTTACACTCCTTCTCAATATTTATAATAAGGTCTGTGTGCATTAATACATTTTTTTTCCTTTTTATTTTTGGCCTTCTACATATACAATTATGATTTAGAAAAACCTTTATTCCAAACCTGTGTCTTACATTTTGGACACCTCTGAAATATCATTCCACAGATTACTTTTCCCCCCAAAAGAGATTCTTCAGGTAAATTTTATTCAGCTAAAATTTATTTCATCCAACCCAGGAGAATATTGTTGTTTGAGAGGAAATGCAAGGAAGTATCTAGACGTTCATGAAGTTGAAGGCATTAACAGCTTTGGAGAGTGGAACAATGACATTTAGATTGCAGAAGAAATGAAGTCAAAGATGGGATAATGTTTTCTGAGTTGAGGGGCATTCAAATTTTTTGCTATCTCATGCATCCTCTTAATTAACTAACTTTTATGTCTCCTGATTGTTCCTGTGTCCCAATGATGTTCCTTACATTATGCTGTTCTTGTATAAAAACCTTTTCTTCCTAAATGACACACATCACTTTCATCTATGGTCAGTCACTTACTAGGCTCTCAACATTCCTATTCTGGTCATACAGAAGGAAGGTACAGACAGCTTGCTTCTTTTCTTATGTTTGAGTTTCTGGAAAGAATTACTCATAAACCAATGCTGAAGTATTCAGTTGTCTTTCTGAGAAAGGATATCTTTGAAGTTGTTGACGTATGGCAGGCTAATCTAGTCTGTTTGCTGGCTACAGTTATCTCCATTGTATCTTTGTATGAGTGCTGACTGGATTGTGTATTTGCCAAGCTTTCTTGCTCATGACCCACCTGGCAATGCATTCCATGGAGAACCAGTATTTTGTGATTCACATACCAACTTCCCACTATGCTTTTGCAAATGTTTCCTAACAACCATGGACAAAACTGTTGTGCATGACAATTTAACTGGAAAATTTAGCAATTATTTCTATTCACTTGTGGCCAGTATTGCTAAGGGTCATTAGCGTAATGGGCTGTTGTATGCCTTTTCTTTTTTTCTCCCACGTCTCTAAAGAGTCCCTAGCACATTCTCCCATGAATCAGAAAACAAAAGGAAGAACCAGAAAAGAGGTGATTGCTTTGGGAGCTCAGACCCAGAAGCTTTTAGAGAAAACACAATACATTATCTGACTGAAAAGGAGGTCTCAGATTGGGGGAGTATTTCAATAATGTGACCTATCTGGGTGCTCCAGAATCTCGGTTTTCATTTTAAAAAGAAATTCTTTAGCTCTCCTGGTTGCCAATATGATGTGAACCAAGCACCCTTAATTAATTAATACATACCTTAATGCACAGAGGGCCACGTAAATGATTTCTGACAGGTTAGAATACCCTACAGTGAGCTCCATGCTGCCATACACTGGCGGCAGTAGTGGCTGAGCAAGCTAATTTAAAATAGTGTGGATATATCCTCAGTGTGTACCTGTCTGTAATATAGTTGCAGTATGTTTTTCATATTCTTCCAAATGATCTGGAATGACAAGCACAGTAGTTTACCTTAAATGAAACCTTGGAAAAACATATTTTCCAGAAGGCAAGAGGAACCTGAAGAAATGCAGCTGTCAAATAATGAAAGATGCTTGATAGCAATGGATACTGATAACTGAAAATATCTGAGAAGACATCTTGTCTGATGAGACCAGGAAATGGTTGGGAAGCAGCAATTAATCATTCATAGGAATAATAAGAATAAAATAATTAGTACGAGTTGCAAAATGCTTATTTAAAACCTTAAACTTTCCTTTTTTTGATGAATCACAGACTTTCAAAAAATCAGAGAAAGAACACAGGGAACTATTTAAAAAAAATCTGATAGGATAGTATTAGAATAGCAGGAACAGGAGTTTTAAAAAAACTTACATGCATGGTAGAGCATCTGCCAATTTATACACCATCTTTTTGGTAGCAGTTTGGGGGAGGGAGCTGTCCTCCCTTTGTACAAATAATCAGTTTTTTTCAATCTTTTTTTTCTTTGTAATTCTCACAGTTTGGTATATCTGTTACTTAAAGCCTCAGAATTAGGACCTGTCTCATGATCACATGATAAAATTTAAAGTGAAAATTGTTTGCTTTGTGAAGCACTGAGAGAAGGATTAAAGGAATTTTATTTACAACTGTGGGTCCAGTCCTGCATAGGTTTAATTAAAAGACAATTCTGCTTTGTCACTAGACATGAGTCAAAGATTTTTAATCAGTCTACAGGATTTTTTCACATCACAGCTGTATAATTTGGACCCTAATCCAAATGTTGTTAAAAGCAGGGCTAACTTTCCAGTTACATCAGCATCTCCAGGGGTGGAGATTCCACAGCATCTTTGGGAATTCGCTCAGGTGCTTAAACTAATTTCTCATTGTGATTTTTTTCATTTTCACTCAATTGTAATTTTTCTTTATGCAGTTTGTTAACATTGAACAGGTAAGCTACCCTGACTTGTAGCCCTGTTCAATAACTGGAAAGTTAGTTCTTCCAAGCAAAACTTGTTGATTAAGGACCATGTGAACCCCATGGGGCTCGATATCACCTGTGGCATCTCCCATAAATTCCAGGATGTCATCAATACCAGCAGTGTAAGGAAGGTCTCTGAGCCAAACACAGTCACACAGTCACAAAGCCTGTCTCTTCCCTGATACAGAACTAGGAATGGAAAAGAGGTGATGGTCAACTCTTCACTTTATTATAGTTCCTTAAATACCTTTATGTGTGTACTTCATATATCTAGTAGGCATGCCTGATAATTTGACAACAGTCTATGGAGAATTCTGACATACTCCCTACCTCTGTACAGTAGAAAATGTCAATCTTGTTACTTTTTTTGTTGATTCCCTAACCCATTGTACCCTTGTTAAGTTATCTAGATTTGAACTGTGTTGTGACATAGTACATTCTAACCTTTTGATGTAGTCAATGCTATTGAATAATTAAGGCAATGGTATTGCACACATTTATATTAATTAAAATGAGTTATGAAGCCCAGTTATTTGTTTAGAATGAAACACTTTTCATGGTTCCTAATGAAGACCCATTATGTGTTTAGAATCTTCTCTACCTACTAGAAAAGAAGATGTAATTTTACATGGTACCTGTGATACAAGAGCTGGAAGAAGGAAGAAAATGAAGAGAAATGCAAAAGGGGAGACTCATTTGCATATTGCTGCTAGGAGAGGAGATTTGTCTTTGGTGAAATCTCTGATATCATCTGGACTGTGTGTTAACCAACAAGACTATGCAGGTTTGAAAATTACTCTCTTATGAGCTTGTTTTATGATACAATTTTATATATTTTACAGTAGATATATTTTTGTGTAATTTGTGTAATTTTAATACAATTATGGATTCTTGATTTAAGATGTAATTGTAAGCAGGTAAGCAACTCATTCAAGAAGTGCAAGCACAATGAGGGAGTCCCTGGATTTTGTGCCTCAGCATGGAGCTAATGCAGCCTTTTTCTCAGCAGAGGCACTGACTAGGTATTGCTCCTCTGCCAAAGGATGTTTTTTGGGGGCAAATGTATGGGAAGTGGACTTGAAAGTTTGGTGGGAGAACTGATGCTTACACAGATGAATATATACACATGTGAAGCACGTTCACACAAATATTTCCTTAGGGGATGAGGGCAAAAATCAGATTATGAGGTTAATTTTTCTTTTTTCTATCTAAATGTGTCAGGTATATCTGCTTTTATAGACTCAGAATGGATGGCATTCTATTCTGGATGCCTGGCAGGCATGATTGATGTTGTAAAATGCCACTAGGAGTAGAAATCAGACTAATAACATTGTGCTTCTGAGTTTTTACAGTCTTTCTAATCTATTGTTTTGTTTCTTTTGCTATTTTTGGTAGTGCAGTAGAAAAGTAAACTTTTGTTAATATTGGATATATTATTCTCTGAAGTAATGAACTACATAGAAAATACTTTACCTTGTGATACGGTTTGAGGGGGCACAGGCTAATTTTATGGTATCAGTATTAGGGCCTAGAGGGAGGGTATTTAGGACCCCCAGGTACCTGGGGGGTAGGAGAGAGAGGGGTTGGTGTTCCCACCCATTTCCTGCCATACTCTATAAAAGCTACGAGGCGAGAAGTCTTCCCCTTTCTGCTTCCTTCCTTGCTGCTTTGCTGCAGTCCAAGATCTTGGAGAGAGGCTTCTGTTCTTTGTCACCAGCTTGCCATGTGCTTGGCAGGATCTGAATACCCTTCTTTTCCTGGGTTGGCTCTGCTGCAAGGGGCCTTTGGACACTTATATTGGTGATCATCGAGATCTGATTTTTTAAATGTTTCTATAAGTGTTCCTCATCCCAAATTACAATCCCTTCCCTGTTATATTAAACCCATTCCAGTTTTACCTTCCAACTTCTTAAGTCTCTCTTCCTTATTCCCCCTTTACCTTCCCCTGAGAGGATGGAGGAGGGTAACAGCAGTTCTGTTCTCTGGGTTTTGGTTTACCCTGACCACTAAACTAGGAGACAGCTTGGCATTTCGAGGTGATTGTTTGTATGAGACTTATCTTAAAGAGAGTAGTCCATTGCCTATAGTACAACAAATGCAGCAAAATGTATAATCGCTAATTAGTGATCAGTGTGGATCTTTCCAAATCACATGCGCACTATATGTGTCATCTTGCTTTTATTAGGTTGGACAGCAATTCATGAAGCATCCAATAAGGGATTTACTGAAGTGATCCTAGAATTACTGAAAGCTGGTGCTAATGTTAACAGCAGAAGTCTGGATGGTGTTTTGCCAATACATGATGCTGTTTCTGGCAATTATTTGGAGGTACATTTCTCTTTTACATTAGATTTCCTGAGCCTGATTTCCAGCAGAGGGTCAACAAACCAAAATCCTGGTTTAAATAAGGAAAGTCAAAGTTACTAATACAAGTTTAGTGTAGATTTGCATTTAGGAAATAAACCAATAGTCTTTAAAGTGATCAACATTAGATAAAAAAATATTTTTCAATAGTTCCAGTTGAAATTATACAATTAGTTGAGTTTTTCAGTCCAGCAGACAAATCAGAAAATTTCAGAAGCTCCCCATGTATTGAGCTTTTTTAAAAATAAAACTGAAATTGAGCATTCTGTATTTGATCAGCTAGTTCAACCCCTCTGCATTAGGCAGGGACATCTTTCTCTAGGTCAGTTTGCTCAACACCTCATCCAAGCTGATTTTGAATACTTCCAGTGATGAGATATGCACGACTTCTCTGGACAACCTGTTCTGGTGTCTCATCACCCTTATCAGAAAAAAATGCTAGGCCTGCTGTTTAAAAATCAACCACTTTTTTCATTAACTTGTCCCTTCCAACCCAAGCCATTCTATGGTGGAATAGGAATAGGAGTAGGAGTAGGGGTAGAGTAGAGTAGAATCATTGCAGTTGGAAGGAATTTACAGTGTTCATCTAGCCCAACTGCTTTACCAATTCAGTGCTGACCAGAAATTAAAGCATGTTGTTAAGGGCATTGTCCAAATGTCTCTTAAACACTGACAGGCTTGGGGCATCAACGACCTCCCCAGGAGGCCTGTTTCAGTGTCTGATGACCATCTTGGTAAAGAAATGCTTCCTAATACCCAGTTTGAACTTTGCCCGAGGCAGCTTTGAACCATTCCCATGTGTCCTGTCACTGGACCCCAGAAAGGAGAGATCAGCACCTCTCTCTCAATGTCCCCTCCTCAGGAACCTGTACAGAGTAGTGAGGTTGCCCCTCGGCCTCCTTTTCTCCAAGCTGGGCAAGCACAGTGTCCTTAGCCACTCCTCACAGAACACGCTTTCCAGCCCTTTCACCAGCTTTGTTTCCCTCCTCTGGATGCATTCAAGGACCTTCACATCCTTCTTAGATGTGAGGCCCAGAGTTGCACACAAACAAACAAACTGTTGGTTTAGCGCAGTGAGTTCCAGGGAACTGAACATAAAAAGGGGATGCCAGATTGGCTCTAACATAGCACTTCCTATGAGGAGAGCTGATGTAATCACAATAGTCTTTTCCATGAGCAAAGATAAAATGAAGGGCATGATTTCACAGGCCTGGTTCCAAACTATCAGTAGGGTTCTTGAAAACATGTAAGCTAGTTTTCAGTATTGTGGAGAGAAACTGAGGAAGATTCTGAACATCCACAGATTATTCTCTTTATGATACTTTCTGGTACTTAACAGCACTCAATGTATGAAGGAAGAGGAAATGCTAAATGAGAAATCATACATACGAAAATTCTTTATAATCCAAGCTCTGACCTCATTAACTCTTTAATGTGATCCGAATTTTAGTAGATGATTCCACTGATGCCACTAATACTCGTTTTCACATTTTGCAGTTAAGCAGACTTGCAGATTATTTGGAATTACAAAAAAATTCCCGAAGCATATATCCCAAACCCAAAATCACTATTAAATACTTAAAGAAAAAAGACCCACTTCTTTTCTGAACTTTGGTCTTCATACAATTGACTAGTTCCTTTTAATTTAGATGTATGTTTTTTAATTGCTCTCTGTAACAATACCATAAAGATGGTAGGTTTAATGACAAGTTGTTACTTTTTGTGTATTTTAATGGAAAAATTAGAAGAGTAAGATGTAAGTCTGTGCTTATAATGGCCAATTAAAGTTGTTTGTTTAAATGGGATTGCAAGTGTAACAAGATTTAGAGTATCTTGTTTGTACCTTTATTGTTTGCAATTTATGATAGATACAACACATACAGTTGTATTATAAGTCCACAACAGGGATTATCATAACACAAATACTAAATATGTAATAGGCAGTCAGGATTCTACTACAGCATGGTGCGAATCCCTGTGAGAGGGATGGTTCAGGAAAAAGTGCTTTGGATGAAGCCTGTGACAATGAAATGAAAGAACTGCTGAAGTCTTACGCTGCTGTGGACTCTGCACGTCCTGTTGAGACTCCTCAAGTTACAGGTTTGTTGGTTTCATAACGGAAATTATAGGATTACCATGTGTTCTTAAAGAAAAACTGTACATTAGAATGCTGCTGATTTGCAGAACTGCATGTTGCCTGGCACTGATACTTTAAACTGCATTAATTATGGAAATTTATTTACTGATTTGTTTATTTTTAAAATATAGCATACTTTTTTTTTCTGAGAGAATGATATATAAGGACATTTGTTGTTTTTTTTTAATTGTGGAGAGAGGAGATATCCTTCTAGGTTGAGAAGACCAAGATTTAATTTTTGTGAGTACTATGAAATATATGATGCAGCTTTGGAGTCAGATGACGAATACAGTGTGGTAAGTATCAAAAACAGAATTGTGTTAAACTGCCTCATAGTTTAGTACTGTGTAGTTATTTAGTAGTATTGTAATATTGTATTATTGTGTTATTTACTGATTGAGTAATATTAATAATAAAACATCATTTAAGTAATTAACCCTTTGGAACGTGTGTAAACAACAACAACATGCAGATGCTTACAGCATGTAAGATGTGGTTTATAGTATATAAATGCATATATTACCACTTCTCTCTGTTCATGATTCATGTGCACTTACACTTACTGTGCAAACAGTCAATACTTGCATACATTTCTTAATGCCTGTATGAATAGAAAAAAGGTCAGGAGTTCCGAGGCTTTTCATCACATCTCCAAAATGGCTCTTTGTAAGAGTAATGGGTTGTTGTTTTTTTTCATTATAATGAAGCTGTTTGGGAATTATTTAATCTTAATTTAAAGCAGCCGGGAAGATTTTGCACAACCTGTATGTTAGGAGAATGCTTGCAGATACCTGTAGGCTATGTCTGCATTGCCTGGGTGATGCTGTCATGGTGAAATTCGCTGCTTAGTCACTGCATTGTGCTCAGAGGTGGGACTCTTGAGTGTGGACTGGTTGGAATGCCCGGGCAAAACCAAGCTGTTACAGCCCCTTAACGCTATGTACATCTGTCCTGCCAGTGCCCCCATTGCCTTTACACAGTATTTTCCTGCCTGGGATGACTTGAGTCCACCAATACTTATCCTGCAGGCCATGCATCATGGCCTGTGTTTTGTACAGTGCACTTGTTTCTGTTTCTTACTGTCACCTCTGCATTTGTTGACAGGAGTCTCCCATACGAGATGCAGGAAAGAAGCAAAAAGAACTGCTGCTGCTTGAATTGAGACCTTCCAAAGATGCAGGTAGACTTAAAGGCAAGTTGTTTCATTTTTTTTTTTCCCCCCAGTAAGTTTAATTTGTTAATGGAATTGTTTTAAAAACAAAATTGCATGTAATGTATTTTAATATCTCCTCTGGAAAATACAGTTTCAGAGAATAAGATTTTAGTAGCGGCTCCCAAGTAAGTGCACTTCCTAAAGTACTTCACTTTACATAGGAATGAATATGATGATAAAAAAAGGGAAGGATGTCACTTGGAGGCTTGTGTTTGAAGTCAGCCTAATTGTATAAAAAGGTACCATTAGATAAGAATGCTCACTGTTGCCAACATTATTCAATTACAAGTATGTGAGCCTCTCCATGATCAAAACCAGCTATGTCTCTATGTAAAGTAACAGATGCAGCATTTCATAACAGTTTGGCTGAACGTTCAGGAGCCTAAAATAATGTATGAGGGGAAAAAAGAGAAAACTTTAAGGCAGACAGTGTGGATCATGGGCAGTTTCAGAAATTCTGGAAGAAGTGTAATTTGTCTTAGGCTATCAAACTTCATCTTAATCTCAGGAGTCTAGTAAGTGACACTGACTTCACAGGAGGTTATGATGCTGGAGCTGTGTAGCAGTTTGAGTCTATTGTGTCTGTACTGTGGCTGTTCAAATGGAAAAGCCTGATGCAGGAACACCTTAGGCTGAAGTCTCCCCAGCTGCCCTTGCCATCTAGGCAGGACTTATGCCCATGAAACAGTTTTGCTTCCTGACAGAAAGGACTGGGTTTTAAAAATATATATTTTCCTGAATACAGGGTGGAACTTTGAAATTATGCCTTGTTATAAATAAATGTGAAATGTGGAATTATGCAAATTTATATATTGCCCCTCAAATTTATGCTGTATGACCTGTTAATTAAAATGGATATGGATTCTTGAAAACTATTTGACAAATAGTAAGATGATACAATAGGCGGAAGCCAGTAGATTGAGATTGGTGTAATTTCATAAATGAGCAAAATAAAACTATCTGACTTTTCCTGCTTAGATGTGTGAGAGAAATGAACATGGTGATCTGTTACCATTACTGACCAAGCAGTAATAACCTAGCATCCCTTAAACTAAGTCATAGTTATTACTTGTGAAGAAGCATAGGGCTGAACTAGAAAGCAGAAGTACTCTGACAAAATGTTGAATAAAATCCTGAAGGTATTTGCATGCAATGCAACCTACTGTAAATAACAGACTCACATTCCCTACTAAGCTGCTTATAAGAGCAATATTTTTCTGTTTTAATAAGTACTGGCAGATACTATTAAACAAGTTTGGAGAAACATTCTAGAAATGCCACTTTTAATCCTACTTTTTCTCTTTTTTCTATTACTATGGAAAGCTTGTATTTCCTGTTTCAGAATTTCAGGAAGTTATTATATATTCAGCATAGTGTCCCAGTGGTATCTGGTAGTCATGACGTCTGACCTCTGCCTTAGTTCTATGGCTAAGAATGTATAGTTTCTGTCTCATTTTAGAAGAAGATAGCTAACAAAAAGGGACAATTTATAATTATTTTTTTAAATAATATGGATTTGAAACTGTAAAAGTATTATATATTTTAACATTATATGTAACTTAGAGCAGTCTAAGCTTATTAAACTATTTTATAATACTTCAAACATAAAGGTTTTAGCCATCTTCTTAGGTTGTGTAACTTCTTTAAGTAACCTTACATATAAGTGTCATGTTATGTAGCTCCTTGCCAAACAAAGAATTTAAAATGTTTCAGAGCTTATTATCCATAGGACAGTCCTTTATCCTGTTCTCTTAGTAATCTCCTAGGCAAGGTACTTGCACTTCAAAATTTTTCAGTACACAGGGTATTTCCTTTTAAACATGTATTTAATTATATGAAAAATGTCATTGAAAGTACTCTACTTGTAAAGAGCTATCAGTATGTATGACAGTGTAAGGTACTGCTGTTATCAATATTTCTGTAATTTGGCTGTATATTTGCTACCTTAAAAATGTTATTGCTATAATTATTTTTTACTGCTTATTGCCATCATAATTTTGATTATATCAAAATATTGGACAGGTGTGTATACCCAAAGACTGTCTTGGATGCCAAATACTTCAAATGAAATGCTTGCAAAACAGAAAACAGGAAGGGATACCCGTGCTAAAAAATACAGGTAAGTAGAATACAAGGATTGTATTTACGGGAAGCTATTATATAAACAGTGATAGAGGTTGTTAGAAGGTTAGCAAACAGTAGTGTGAAAGCAGCATCCATATTGGCTTCAGTTACCTCCAGTAAGAGTTACATCAAGGAAGAACTTCAGGGTTTATCTAATGCATATTAGTCAGTTACTGTGCACACAGCGAGCATTGAAATTAGGTACTGAACATACAAAAGATGTGGAAAAATATCTAAGTAGAATTGAGGGAATCAGAGTATTAAGCAATTAGATATATTTTGCCACAACATGGAGGAAAGCAGTAGCAACTCAGATGCCACCTTTGGTGTCCCTGCCTCTAGTTTTGTTTCTTTAGCACCCTGAGATTTGGAGTGTTCCACCAACAGGCCACAAGAGCCTTCTAGAGCAGCGGCTTGAAGCACACTTACAGACATTCCTTTTTTGTGAGGACACCTCAAATGTGGTCTGGTAGCACTCACTTCAGTGTGAGCATGGATTGTGTGAATTTCTAGATTCCTGCTCCTGGCTCTCATGCCACTTTTCACTTCTTCTAAGACAGACTACCTGAATGCTAGTCATGTGGTGGGAGCTTAGGTACCAATGAATGTAGCATCATATTCAGTGGATGCTTCCAGGCCATCTGATGCAAACGTCTACATGTTGATTCTCTGAGCAGTATTTGCATGGTTATGTAAAAGTGTAAAAGCAACAGTGTACAGCTTTCAGGTAGTTCCACAGCAAAACATACAGGCTGGCTGAGCAGAGAGACATTTCTGCCACAGACCATTTTGCCAGCTAAAAAATCTAAGGTACAGATAGTAAAAGAAAAAGAGAGGAGAGAAGTTAGGGTTCCAGATAATCCTTATGAACAAACCAGTGACCGAATTAAGAAAAAAGGAGCAATAAAATTAATATCTACACAAACTTACCTGCCTTCTGAGAGTTAAACTGTTCTAGAGTGAGATGATAAATATTTCTGAGTATTGCAGATACCCTGCAGTTACTGCAACACTATCTATCAGTAGTAATGAGCTACATGCCAAATTACATTAAATTTCCTTTTTATTATTTATATGGTGAACATTTTAATTTTACCTAATTATCATATTGGCTTTTGTCACATGGTACATAAATGTACAGAAGATCAGGAGGCATCATGACATTTTCCATCTTCCTGTTGTTCAGTTAGTTGGCCCAAAGAGACATACTACTAACACTTTTCCATTTCTATCTGTTCCTTTGAAGATACTGAGATGTATCTCTCACCTAAGTAAAATAAGAAAAAAAACCCCAAACCACAACATATCTGTCAGTGGCTTTAACTTTCTTAGCTTTTGTCCTTTTAGCTATGCTGTCTTTGCCTCTTCAGTTGCAGCTTTTTCTGTACCTGTATAGCAAGAAAGCAACACAACATCCCTGAAGAAACACTGCTAGAGAATTCATGTTCCATATTCCTCTTCTTAGTGGGTTAAGTACTAAACTGTTTCTGGTTTGTATTCACAAAAATTCTGGTGTCCTTATTGCTTTTTTTTTTTTTTTTTTCTATAGGGCCTCAGTGAAATCTTCTGAAAAAGGAGCACACAGGAAACAGTTAGTTAACCTTGCTCCTAAGCAAAAATGTCTGTTGACAGTTGCCCAAACTCAGGAAAAATTAGTGCAGAAAGCACAAAATTACGGAAGAACAAAGCAAGTGTTCGGTGTATCGTGTTCAGAGAAGCAAATCTCAAACTTAGTTATTTCCCATGAAAATGATAAAAGTCAAAGTTTAACTGCTGATGAAATCATGTGTCCTAATGCAGTTACATTTAGTATGGGGCTTGGTGCCAGCATGCCTAATGGAGACAGAGTAGAAACAGACCACTCTTTAGAAAACAGATGTTCAGGTCAGGAATGCAGCCAACATCTATACATCTGCTTGGGTGAGACAGGAGGAAATAAAGAAACAATTAGAACTGAAGAGTGCTCTGATCATGCTTTGGCATCTGAAAATAGGGTACAAGAATATCCCTTTGACAACATGTCAAAGCTGACAGATACTGTAGAAGTGGTAACATTACCTTCAGAACCTACTGTTTCCACTGCCGAAATGAAGTGCTTGCAGCAAAAAGACACTGACTGTGTAGCAACTGCAGAACAAGGAAACAAGTCTTTAAATCCCACTTCAGTAATCAACACATTAAATATTGTAGAACCTCAAAGCACTGTTGCCAATAACAGTGTCTGTCAGCACCACAATGAGGAACTACACAGATATGTAGATAAGAAGGGAGCTTTGCAGCAGCAGCAAGTATTTTTATCGACATCTGCAAAGACCTTCCCTAATACTCTGCAGCAAATAAACATTCAGAGTAGTGAGAACTTAGTTAGTGCAAACTTGGAGCTTAGAAATCTTGCCTCAAATACAGATTATCCAGTATACCTCAGTGGGAAGTCTTCCCAAAGCTACAGTAGTCAAGAATGCAAACAAAACCAATTGATTTATGGAAGAAAAACAAAGAAGACTCAATTGATAGATCTACTTGAATTAGGAAAGATTAAGCCAGGAGAAAACGTTTTAGAATTCAAACTGCAGGTAATTGTTCAGCTATAATAATATTAATATTAGCATAGAATGAAAAAAAACAAACACTACACTAAAATGAGGAAACAGCAGTTCTCATGGTTTACTTTGCATCTTCAGCACTTAGTATTGACGATTTGTATTCATTGTTTAGAGATAACCTTTTTTGAGTTTTAAAGGAAAATGCTATAGATGATGTCCTCTGTCAGTCCATAATTTTAACACTCTGAATACTGCATGCATAGAATTTATATTTAACTTTGCATTATCAGCTTGTTGACATTTTCTGTTGCTAAAGCTGGAGAGGAATCCTTAGTTGGTCAATATTGTGTAATACCTGATTTTCATAGTGGAAGGAGGGGGAATGTTAAGGTTTTTATGACTTAATGTGATTCTTGGAAGCAACTGACAAGTCCCTTAAATAAAGAAATGACATCAAGGATTTCATAGTGCTGTGATAGACATGAATATATGCAAGATTAACTCGCTTACATGCCAGCTGGTTCTGTAATTTACTCTAGTATGAACCATATTTAAAAAATAACCAACATACCCCTAACCCAGAACATGCTTTAAAACAAGAACATGCCCCTGTACCTCCAGATACAGAACATATTAACAAGGCAGCTGCCAGGGGACTGGCTTGGTATTGAGCAAATGATGGAGTTACTGACTGAATTTTCAGCTGCAAGCCAGTTAATTTCCAGGGCAACATATTAATTAAAACATGAAAGGTTCTTTTCAGCCAGTTCACCAGGTGTAGTTACTGTAGAAAGGACTCCTTTTTCTGCATGTATAATCTGCTCAGGAATACTTTTCTCCTGAGAGTGGCCATTTCATGCGGTCCTGTGTTTTGTAACATAATCACAAGCTTCTGTGATGGACCATGTCACAGGTCTACAAACATGCTTCTTTTCTTTAAAGTACATGTAACATTTATCTGAACCTCAAGATGACTAAATGGAAGGACAAAGAATTGAATATGCCTACTGTCATTTCTTAAGGTTATCTGCCATACTGCCATGATGCATGTGGGTCTTAAGGAATTATGACCAGTATTGAAATGTAGAGAAGTCAGTTGTTTTACTAGAATGAAAATGTCACTTATTTATATCTTGGAAGACAGTGCTATAGAGATTAAGGTTTAGAAGATAGTGTCTGTCACATTGAGGAGAGATGTTCAGTAAGATCATCTTTATAAGATTTACTTGATAACATCATACAGCTAGTACATAGTCCTTACTTAAAGTTAGCTTTGGGCAAATGCAGTTTTTGAATGCTGTAGACCTAAGCTAGGGAACTGTAAACTGGATTGAATGTTGACCAAAATATTTGGGTTAAACATCTTCATTTAGAGGAGGTGGTTTAGTATTTCCTGATGGATCGTTCTTTTATTCTGATTGTTTAACTTCACACATGCTATAAATGCTAACATACTTTATCAACAGCTAATTTTTGCATTATTTAGCTGTGTTAGCCTAACTGAGATCAGTGTGACAGAACAAAATTTACTGTACTATAAACCACTATAAGCTGTGTTTCTGGAGGTGCATGTATGTGCAGAGCATTATCAAAGAGGCAGTAACAATAAATTACTTTATCCTTAATTTTGTATGAGATAAGGCTGTCAAGTTCCTCTTTGATGTGATATCACTTGATATAATTGAAGCTTGTATGCAAAACATATCCAGTTCTGGGCCCGTCAGTACAAGAAGATGTTGAGTTGCTGGACTGTGTCCAGAAAAGAGAGCTGCCAAGCTGGTGAAAGGTCTGGAGAATAATTCCTATGAGGAAACGCTCAGGGAACTGAGATTGTTTAGATTGAAGAGGCTGAGGGGAGACCTCATTGCTCTCTCCAACTACCTGAAAAGAGGTTGGAAGGATGTGGGCCTCATCTCTCAAGTGAATAATGACAGCAACAAAGGAAATGGCATGAAGCTGCACCAGGGGAGGATTAGACGGGATATTAGAAAGAATTTATTGACCGTAAGAGCAGTTGAACAGTGGAACAGGCTGCCTAGGGAGGTGATGGAGTCACCATTCCTGGAAATGTTTATAAAGAAATAAGAAATATTGTGCTTACAGACATGATTTAAACACTGAACAGGTAGATTAGGTTATGGTAGGTGGATTTAGGTTATGGTTGGACTTGATAATCTTCAAGGTCCTTTCCAACAAACATGATTTTGTTATTCTGTAAATGTATTTCATCTTGGAATCATTGCTGGAATTTCACTGATATGCATTTATTTCACGTGTACATCAGATTGCATTTGAGTAGCAGTTGCTTGTTGCAGTTTTGCCTCCTCTGAGTTCCTGAGTTCACTGATGAAAATTAACTTATTCACAGCTGAGCGATGTCTAAGAGGAACTAAGATGCGTGTACAGTTCCATTAAACACACATAGGGAGATATGTCCTCTAACAGTGGTGTCTGTGTGACAAAACATCTTATTTTGGTGCAGTAAATCCTCTTATTTTACATAACACAGTTTATGATAGTGGCATTAAATTCTTTAACTTTTTTTTTCAGAGAAAACCAGAATTAGCTGCAAATTTTAAGCTATATTGTTATCCAGCATTTGTCATGTTTTAAGGATGTTAATTCAGATGTGTTAATTTATGAGTCGAAAATTATTTCTTAATTTTTATTTTTTAGGAATATAGTCATAAAGCCACAATCTTAAAAAATGGAAAGATCAAAACCAGTAAGGGACAAATACTGCAGAATCCAGTTCATTGGGTTAAAGACTTGCTAGGAAGTGATATTTCTGTGACATGGAAGTATGTGTGGAATAAGGTAGGCCTGATTTCACTCCCAAAATAGCAGTAATAAATGGTAATACCAGTTTCACTTATATGATTCTCTCTACTGTTCTTAAAGCAAAGGAGGGTACAAGCCTAAATTTTAAAAAGTCTTCTTACTGTTAATGACTAAGCTGCAAAGAATGAACTTCATAGCTGTAGCTCTACAGTGACGAAGTAGTCATGAGTGTTTAGAAAATGTGGAATGTCCATTCTGTAAACTGTCAGTGTTTTGAACGCGTAGTTGCAAAGATGATGAGACTGACTGAAAAAGCTGAAAGGTGCTTACGGTAAAAAGGGGCAAGCTAATTGAAATGTCAGCATGCCAGAGATGAATGTTACAAAAATGCTGGCAGAGTTTAGAGGGCTATGGATGATTTGTATTATACTTCTTTTCATTTGGAATTCAAATTAGCAGAATTTCTGCTTGATTAGGTTGTTAGGTGCATAAACTCAGTTTTAAAAGAATGCAAAATGTTTACACTAATTACAATGACCAGTTACCCATTTAAATTTGTTTGTACAGGTTACATATCTTGGGACACAGTTGTCAAAATTTCATGTTGAAGAAGTGTCTGTGTCTAGTGATCTGGAATTATCATCACAAGAAAGAGAGCCTTTGGGTATGTACCACTTAAAATGTAGTAGTCACCGTGACTGAAAGCAGCAGAAAGTGATTAGAAAGAGCTTAGATTCCAGAATTCTTCTGTTGCTCTCTGATTTTTTCTGGGCTACGTGCTTCTCACAGATCTTGGACTTGAAAAATAAATAGTTCCAGAACTTACACATGATCTCTAAAGAAATGTGTTTATTTTCTTCCATAAATGGGTTGTGTGAAGAGAGTAATTACTAGTTATTTGGTTGCTATGTAAAAAATTCTTATGTAACACTCTACATGAAAATGCTTAATACATTAAGTAAAGTTTTGATAAGCTAATACTTTTTTATGTTGTTGGTAAGTCAGATATACTAGTGTAAATGGCATGTACATCTTAACATCAGATTAAATAATCTGTGTTTCGTGGAAATCCTAGTATGCCCAAGAAACAGTCATAACTAGGGGGATATTTCATTTTCTAAAAATAAACAGTCATAGGAAATAGAGTGCATTGATATGACGAGATGACATTGAACAATTTTTTGAGATCTGCCTGGCAGACTTACAAACTGCAGCCTAATTTTGAAAAGTAATATATTCCTGGGGAAACCCAAGTGCCTTTGATAGCCACTTGCACTTGGTCTGAAAAGCTTTTGGGCTTTTGTGACTGGTTCTGTTAATTTGATGAGACACTGCACCTCATGTGAACTGGGATACCAAGCTTCATCTGTTCTTCACATAATAGAAGTAAACTTAAATGTAATAATTTAAAATAACCTATTTGGTATTCAAACTACCATGTTCTACTGGTTTTTGCTTCAGGCTAAGAGCATCCAGGTGATGAGTTTACATTCCCCTGCTTCAGTAACTTAGGTGGGTACCAGGTGCAAGTGACTTCAGAATGGATTTAGTCTCCTAACTTTTTCATAGGCTTTAAAAATTACTCCTCTCATGCAAAATTTATGATAAACATTGTAACTTCTAGAACAGATAAATCCATTTATTAAAAAAATACTCTTGACAAACAGAAAGCAGCTTAGAGATCAGGAAGGGGTTTTTTTTCTCCTGTTTTTCACAAATAGCCCAGGGTAATGTGGGAAACAGTATTTAAATTGTTTTGGTCATGTGTAATTTAAGATCATGGTAATGGCTAACCATTAGCCCTAGTTTAGAAACTGAGGGAGGGAAAACTACAGTGTTCTCATTTTCAGTTCTGTTTCAGGTACTCTATGGCCTGTTACTATATAGTAGGAAATTAAACAGTGTCTTAATTCCAAAAGAGGATTAATCTGCACTGTTGTATTGTGAGAACAGCTGCAGGCGTTGGGCAGCTCCCAAGTGGTTTCCAGGCCTGATTCAGGAGTTGGCTTGTTCCAAGGGCTATTCCCAACTGGCACTTTGCTTACAGCCAGCCTGCTCAAAAGCACAGGAAGGTTTGCTGTTGTGGATGTGAGCTAATCTGTGTGACTTGCCTGAGGTCATTCCCAGGCTCCCTTTTATCTTTCTTTCTTACTTACAGCCTGTCTGTAATTCTAGTAGAAGTTTATTCTGCTTCTGCAAAGAAACAAATATTTATTTCTTTTTCCTGTATTAATGTATTGATTTTCTTTCTATCCATCTTAGAGCATTGTTGAAAAGACTGGTCATTTGTACACTTCTGGAGGAGAATACTATTTTAAACACACATCCCTACACTCCTTCCAGTATCTTAGCTCAGCATTCATTGAGCTACTATATGAAGTGGATGGGGAAGCAGGAAGAAAATTATACAGGCAGCATCATTTTAAGAGAAAGTCTCTTTTAAGAGAAAGAAGCTGCTACCACTGAATTTTGTATAGAGCCCAATTTAGGAAACATGTCCTAAGAAGCTCTACCAAATCAAGGTCCCTAGGCAAGACAGGTGCAGCAGTTGCTGTTCTGTGGCTGCCAGCATAAGAAATGCCCTGGCTTTTTTTCAGCTTGGATGGGATTAAGGTGCTTGCAGGTTTGTATAGCAACAGATTTTTAGGTACCTCAGGAATGTTAATGCAAAACACTTGAGCCCATTAATTAAAGCAGTCCCAGGTATTCAATGGAAGCCTTAAATACTGCAATTTTGTAATGAGTAATCTAAATCCTAACTGAATTTCACTTTATGTCCCTTCTTTTAGTTGGAGCCTTTAGTCTCCTTCTAGGATCACACTAAGAGAAAGCAGGAATTGTTATATTCAAGTCTGAGGGAGAACCTAAACATTAATAAAACAAACAGTACATTTAGACTATCTGTATGTAGAAAATCAGAAGAAACTGATTATAGGGCTTGTAATTCATTCCCCTGTGCTTTCCACTCCATGTAATTATAACATAATGTTTGCTAAAAATGACCAAAAATAACAAGGATTTGAAAGCAGATGTCAGCTGAAGAGCAGATAGCAGTTGCAGATCATATGTTGATGTTAGATATTTGACACTGAACTTCCAGAAAAGTGGCTTAAAATAAAAGCTTATCCTGTTGTTACAGTAAGTGTCATATGTACATTCATTTTGGAGATTGCTGTTTCAGGAGGATAGTCTTTAAAAAATGGCATGACTAGTGCAGTTTTTCTCTGTTAATCCTTCTGCCTTTGATAACCATTAGCCATCCATAAAGATTAGAAAAACTCTTGCTCACCTTTAGTTTATGAAAGACCTCAAAATTGTGTGGAATAGAGTGTTTTCAAGGAAATCCAGATTATTTCTTAATGGCTGAACTGTGGGGACTGTTCCAGAAGGCTTATGTTCTTTGGGTATCTAGCTTATAATAGTCAGCTGAGCTCAATAAGGTTGCATGAATGCAAATGAAATTGTTTTGCTGTGATCATGGGTGATACTTCATGTTCCTGTTTTCCTTGAGAAAAGAAGTGAAACACACATATTTAGTAGGTTACTTTTCAAGTCAAATTTGCGTGGCATTGGGACATTCAGGATGTATAGTGCTTGTCTTGAACAATCCAAGAGATAAGTGACTTACCCAGGCACTCAGGGTATCTCTTGTCTGTCTTGAGGCATCTAAGAGTTAAACAAGATTTGTAGATGGACTAAAGAGATGTCTCAGCAACCCACCCAACTGTTTTGCTTCCCCCCCTGCCATGTGTACCTGAGAACTGGAAAGTTTAGTGTGGGTCATGCTGAGATTGGAGAAAAAGGAGTTCTACAGCTGGCACTGGGAGCAGGATATCCAGTGATAACCAGGCCTTGATATCTCATGAAAACCACTGGCTTAGCAGGAAAAGAGAAAGAGTGCTGGTCTCAAGCCACCTCCTAGGACCAAACCTCCACTGCAGTGAACTAATCCTATGGTTCCAGTTGTCTCAACCTTCTCTTTTGCAGTGGCTGATCTTATTAATTAGCCAAACAAAGACTGTCTGCAGGATATAGCCCTGGCACCATAACCTCCCTCCCACCCCCCCGCCATGTCAGAGAAGCATGGAGAAGATAGAAGGATTTTCTCACTTGTACAGGGAGAAAAGTGGGGGTGCAGTGGGCAAGAACTGTATAAAAATCTGGGACTCTGTGGGTGCAGGGAAGCACTTCCCCACCAGGAACCACTTCCCCACCAACAACATCGCTGGACCATGGGGGTAACTGTTCTCTTGCTTGCTGTCCTCTGTGTTTCTGCTTTTTCCTTTCTTTCCTGTCTCTCTTTTCCTCCCTGCCCTATCCACTCTAGGGACTTTCTAACATCTGACCTCCTTTGTGTCTTGATTTCACCATTTGGGATCACCTTTAAACCTTTTCACAGGTCCTGCAGGACAACCAAGGGAGCAGCTGCCATGCAGCTCATCCCAGGGGAGGGGAAGGCAGAGTCCAGCCGCACTAGCCTCCCACTGCAGTGAGGAGTGTTGGAAAACAAGGGGGTTCTGCCCCCTCTCTTATAAGACTGCACAGCATCCCCAGTGCCTCCTTGTGCACCAGATATTGTGTGATCTTTGTTTTGTCCTGGCAAGGTCATAAAAAATTGCCAGGTATCCAAATACCGGATTGTGACAGACATGCCAAGGAAGACGTATTTTCTTAAAGAGAATGCCTCTACCATCTTGCAGCTATGGCAGAGGAGAGTCTGCCCTTACATGTATCAGGTGGTGTAAGGCTAAGTGAAAATTTCAGCATTTACCTTTAAGAAAAATAAGTGTAATTGTGTTAAACCATTAAAACCACCAGCATTAAACGATGCTTTTTGTTCTTAGAACAAAGTTTTGTCTATCTTTACTGTGCTTTCAGGAAGGAATTCTGTCACAAGGGACCCCAGCAATGAGAACCAGCATCATCAGAGTCCTGGTACTGTCTCCATTGCTCCTCTTTGGAGCTCTAACCTGAGCAGTGTTCAGCCAGAAGCCCCATCCTTGCCACACACACAAGTTGTGAAAACATCGCTGTGCACTGAAAGAGAAAAAGCTGTTACCAGGGAATTAAAGAGTAAGATTTATTTTTTTTTTAACTGCCTAAAAAACCTAATGATGGGTGCAAGGGCTATACAACAGATACAAAAGGAAGTAGGTGGAGTGGAATTGATTTGTGTGGGGGAGGGAAGAAGCGCTGGGTAAAAATGATGACTCTGATGATGAGTTGGATTGATCTAAATGACCCAACAATTAAGCTTTCCAGAGCACAGTATGCTCAAGTTTCCTGCGTCCAAATTAGAAACATTTTGTTATTTTGATGTACTTAACAAAATAACTCCATACCATGTGCAGTACTCAGTTAAATGTCTGCACAGAATAATAGCACAGACACATGTCTTCTGGATTTAGCTGAAGAAACGTGATACAAGAGCACTGCTGAATAATCTCATGTAATCTAATTTAAAGGGAAAAGTGGAAATGTTCCCAAAGATGTATGTATCTTTGTGAAGTTGAATTTGTAACTTTGTGTATTACATTTGTATTTGCTTGCAGATCAAATTGTTATTATTTTATAATTATTACTGCTTTAATTTATATTTTATATAAATTTAATATAATTTTTATTATCAAACATTACTTGATTTCAGATTAAACCCTATCCATA